ATTACTAATTTTAAATGCCTTTAAAAATTTCCAAAATTAAGAGTTTCAGTTATGATTTTTCAATATCCTCAAAAAACCAAGTTACTTTCTTATATCACTAATCGACAGGCGCGTACGCAGGAATTTAGTCTGGGGGGGGGGGATAATAAAATTTTTTATTAAATATTATTGTTTTTTAAAAATATCAAGCATAAATTTATTAGGACTAATAACTATTTCTAATACACAATTTTAAATTTATGTGAATTACAAAAAAATTATATGTAAAGAATCACTTAAATGACCCAAAATAGAAATTTGAATTTTTTGAGCCTTTACACAAAAAGTTTCTTAGGATTAATTGCATTTTATATGTTATATATTTACAATGTAAAATCCAATCTTCGTTGTGATTGAGCTAATTTTTCAATTATCTCATCCTTGCTTGTCGTCAAATGCCTATGAATATTCAAAAGATCCAAACCTTTCAATCTACTTTCAGATGTTGTACTTCTTGGTATGTTTTTCAGAGACCTCCAGGCCCGGCCCCCGGGCTGGACAGTATTTTAATTTTTTTAAATATATTCGGGCCCGAATTTTTTTAAAAAAAACACCCAAGCCGGGCCTGAAAATTTTATTTTAAAAAAAGCCGGGCCAGGCCTGAAATTTTTTAAAAAAAAGCCGAGTCGGGCCTAAAAATTTTTTAAAAAAAAGCCGGACCGGGCCTGAAAATTTTTAAAAAAAACCAGGCCGGGCCGTAAAAAATCTTTAAAAAAAATCACTTCTGCGGGCCTCTGTTATTCTTTTTAAAAAAGAGAATGTTCTCTCATTAGTTTACTAATGGGAAGAGTTTATAAACCCATTTAATACATTGGGAATTTAATCTAAAATGTGTTTGAAATAATGCAGAGCATCCATAGCATTTTTTGGGACTATATCAACCATTGTTAATCTTATAAACATAGTTATTCAGCTAGTAAGGCATCATAAGATACTTTATCATCTTCATAAAAAAATCTAACAAATATTATTTTTTCTATCACCATCTGAAAAAGGTTGGGAAGGCTCTTGTGGAAGTAATATTTGTAGATTAGTAAGTGCTGCATGATGAATTAAAAATTCATTTATTTGGGTTGTAAATGTAACTGTATTTAAGATATATTCTTCTACTTATCCTATATTAATGTTTAACGATGAGCTTGCCTTGCTACAAGTCGAGGGAGACAAATATTAAACACGTATAGCTCAGCTTTTGACTCAACAATAAAATATGAAATTCTTCATCAACATTAGCCCTAATTTCCTTGAGTTCTTATAAAATGCTCTCCTCTATTCTCATCTTCTTAATCAAGTCAATGTCATGTTTTTGAAAAGTAATACTTAAAATAGTTGTATAATTAAATAATACATTCTAATGAGAAATAAAATTTGGAATAAGCATTGAATCCAATAATTTTCTTGCTTCTGAGGATTCTTTCAGGCCATTATGATATTTCAGTAATAGCAAATAATTGGCTCTTCTAACTCCTTAAAAGCTGTTCTGCTTGATGGCAGAGACTCTATCTCGTTGGACAAGGTTACAATTTCTTTTTCCCTGTTATAAGAAGTTTCAGAAATAATAATTATTTGATTAGAGATTTGAAAATGGTAGATAAATATTACGCCACTAAATATTTGAAAATAAGTAAATATTACGCCGGAAAACTTGAAATCAAAATTAATTGATAAAATAACTTAGTAGATAAATGTGATAATAATTGTAATTAAATATATATTTAATATGAGATACGAATAAATATTAACAAATATAAATTAATATAAACAATAATATTTTTGAAAAATATATCCGGCATCTGCATTTTTTGGCTTTGGGGAGGGGGATTTGTCCCCCTGCCCCCCCCCCGCTGCGTACGCCAATGCTACTCGAACATCTGATTTAATAATTTTCATGATGAAAAAGTCTACTTAAAACTCGATGTTGTTGATCTCTATGAGAGAATATTTGAAAAACATTTTGAAATAGTTTTTGTATAGGTAAAGAAATTTGACAAAATCTGATGCAACTCATCAATCTTAAAATTTTCTAAATTTTTAGAAAATAATTTTTTAAAAATCTCAATTTCATTTACTAATCCCTCTTCTATGGTTTTCCAATAAAGGTTATTTTTTATGTCTAGAAAATTAAAATGGTCATCTTGATTTAAATTTTTTCAAATTGTTGATTAATTTATACCATAAAATTGGAAAAACCTTTTAGTCTTAGGATCAACTCCTATATATTCTGCAATTATAATGTTTTTTCAAGGCCCCTTTATTCAAGAACTTTCTTACAGTTGGTAAAACTCGTTTTGGTATAGTTTGATTCACCATTTAGATGGGGGGGGGCAAAATTTTTGGGCGGGAAAAGGTATTCCCCCAAAAAAGGCCGAGAATCGGGCATGCAATTCATTATAAGCTAAGGATTATGAACTCGTCATTTTAATATTATAGAATTCTTACTTTCTTCCACCAATATAAATCAAGGACTGAAGGTTTCACTAAAAAATGCAAAATTTTTGAAAAAAATGAATAAGATTTAAATATCATAAAAATTATCCAGAATATGTTACAGATCCTTTTCCACAATTTGTCACAAAAGCATTCCATAGGAACATTTTGAAAATATTATTGTTTCGGGTCTTAGATTCAAAATAAAACCACAGAATAAATTTTATAAATTATGTTTTTTGTATGATTTTATTCTACATTTTTGTAAGTACCATTTTAAACTTCAAGTGTATCAAAATAATTTTGCAAAATAAGTGAAATTGTTATTTTTTAAGTTATTTGATCCAAGTCAAATTTTGTAAATTTAAATTGATAAGCCACATGTTGATCATTTAATGTTAACCAGATGGCATTGGGTTTTTTTAAAAAAATCGCTCTGTTATAAAGTTTATGAAGATAGAGATAGAGGATATAATTATAATGATCGATTATAGAATTAAATCCAAATTTGATTGTGATTTATTATTTGATATAATAAAATATTTAAATCATTAATTTTACTTTTAGAATATTTTATAAATTATTAATTTTCCTGCAAATTTATACGGCATGTCATTGAATCAAGCACCAAATCTATAGGAGTTTTTCCTTTTAGCATGTTACCTATATTTTCCCCCGGTAAATCTATGACTATGTAGACATTATTTTGATTTTCGGATCGAAGATTTTTAATTAGATTAACCTTTACCTGGTTAATAGTTTTATCACGATTTTTGGGTGACCAAGGTTTAAGGGCTACTGACAAATCATTGGAACTTAAATCTTTAAATTCATTGTCATTTGCGATTCTATGTTCCATCTGGATATTCATTTCAGAAGGTTTTGAAGAATCGGTATACGGAGATAAAATACCTGACTCCATTATATAACCAACGATGCCAAGAAGACCTACCTGAAAATCTTTTTGAGCCTCCCTCTCAATTTTGACTGCCAAGGGTGTACCAAACCTGACAGGTTCTGGGGTAGGAAGTGGTTTTTCCGGTGACCTAGGAAGCGCCACAGGTTCGGGCACAGGTGGCGTCTCAATCTTGATTGGGGATTGATAGCTGTAAGAAGGGACCGGCTCCATTTCTGGTACTGGCGTTTCAATTGGTACGTCGGGCAGATCCATCAAGAGCTTCGCTTTGGCAATTTTTTCCTGATTTAACTTGAAAGCCACGTTAAAAGCATGACCTATTCTATCACCCTATAAAAAGATTCATTAAAAAATAATATTTTATAAGTAATGGGGGGGGGGGGGTAAAAATTTTGATGGGAAGGGGGGGGGTAATATCGTCATTAGCTTAGGATGGTGTTTAGGTCCCTGAAGTGATCCCATACATGTTGATAAGAGGTGTACACTCATTATTTAATAATACATCATGGGGTCTAGTGATTAAACAAATACCATTATTCTCATATGGTACACATTTGGAGTTTTTTTGTAATTGTATTGTTACACTAATTTAATGTTGATTCATTTACTAATTTTTTCCCGAAAACGACATGACATATAAAACATTTTGCGGCTATATCGAAAACCACTATACCCAGAGCATTGTCTCGCCAAATGGTAGCGGCTACTTTATCGATATTCACGAAAAACATTTTTAAGGAGCCTCTTCTTGATTTCTGTAAAAAATATAAATGCAAGAATTAAATATGAATGAATATTATAAATATTCAGTTACCGGGGAGATATAAGATTACATATTTGGTTAGAGATGAAATTTGTTAAAATACTTGGATATTCCATTTATTCGATTTTTAAATTTTTGAATTATTGTTAATTTTCGAATTATTTGTAAATATTCATAATTAAAGTTTTTTTTTAAATTGTCAATCGAATATTTATTTTTTCTGGTACTTTTACAAGATTGATTTTTTATTAGGATTCTGACTTTGTTTAAAATTTTCTAAAATAAAAACAAATATTTATAAAATGTAAGATTATGCAGTCATTAAAGATGAAAAAAACCGTTTCTTGGGGAAAAAAAAACTCTTTATAACTACAATATTAATATTTTATTGCAAATTATTTTCACAATCATTTAAATAAAATTTTAAAATGCAATAAATTATTTAATAATACATGTGAAAAATAAAATAAAGGTCAAAGCAAAGAAGACAAGGTTAGCAAGTTTGAATATTGGGACACTTAAAGGTAAGGCAAGAGAATTGGCATCAATGTTGAACAAAAGAAAAGTTGATATAGCCGTGCATACAAGAGACGAAATGGAAAAATCAGAAAACTTAAATGATTGGAGATGGGTATAAATTGTACTATAATAGAATTGTTAGCAACAGGAACGGTGTCGGCATCATCCTCAGTCAAGATCTAACCTCCTCAGTTCAACAGGATCTCTGATAGACTAATGAAGATAAAACTCTGCATTGGTCAATCAATACTACACATCCTTTCAGTATATGTTCCACAAACAGGTTGCAAATAAGAGGAGAAAGATGACTTTAGAGCTATCCTTGATGAAGCTGTAATGGAAATCCCTAAGGATGACCTAGTCATAATAGGTGGTGACTTAAATGCACATGTGGAAAAAGCAAGAGACAGCTACAAAAGGCATCATGGTGGTTTTGGATATAGAGAAAGAAATGATGAAGGAGAGCATGTACTGAAATTTACGCAAGCCTTCGACCTTGCCTTAATCAACACTTACTATAGGAAAAAGGACAGTCATTTAATAACATATGAAAGTGATACAAGGAAAACCCAGATCAGAAGGTTAAAAGATGTAATAGACTGCAAAGTCATCCCAGGAGAAGATATTGCCGCGCAACACAAGCTACTAGTCATGGATTTTCACATCGCAACTAAATCCACTCAAAACAAGATAAAACTTGAACCATGCATTAAATGGGGTAGATTAAAATCAATGACAGATGCCTTTGCAATCAATGCAAACATTGAAACAATAGATTCCTTACAAGTCAATGAAAAAATGTGAATAGACCTTTCATCCAGATTAATAGACACTGCCAAATCGACACTAGGCTTGACAAGGGGAGGCAACAAATCATCCAAACAACTATGGTGGTGGAATGAAGAGGTACAAAACACTATACAGGAGAAAAAAGCCCTATATAAAATATGGTACAAATCCAAAAACCCACATGACAAGACAAATTACAAAAAATCAAAGGGAATAGCTACAAAGGCGGTGGCTAGGGCCACAGCTAGGGCATACGATGACATGTATGAATAACTACATACCAAAGAAGGGCAAAATAAAATTTGCATATTAGCTAAACATAGAGAGAATTCTAGGGATATAAACGGAGCTCTGTAAGTAATCAAAATTAAAGATGGGAAATTGATAATAAAGTAAAAAGAAATAATGAATAGATCGAAAGAATATTTTTAGGAGCTTCTCAACTTTAATCCCGACATACTACATCTAGATGAACACTCCCCATGTCAAAACCTTGTACAACCAATAACAGAACAAGAAATAACCATATGCCTCAAACATGTGAAAAACAACAAAGATAAGATTCCAGGTGATATTCCAATAGAAATTCTTAAAGCACTAGGATATGATGACATCTCCTCACAAGTCTGTACAATATAATACTGGGAAATGAAGAGATCCCTCAAAAATGGATGCAGAGCTATCTAGTTCCTATCTTCAAAAATAAAGGGGATCCACACAATTGTCAAAATTACAAGGGCATAAAATTATAGTCACACTGTCTTAAACTCTACGAAAAAATAATAGAAAAAAAGGTTAAGAGACATAATCCAAATAGGAGAGACTCAGTTTGGCTTTATGCCTGGAAGATCAATAACTGATGCTATCCATGCAATTAGGTAAATGAGTGAAAGATACGGAAAAGAACAAAAAGCTACACATGGTCTTTCTCGATCTAGAAAAGGCCTTCGATAGAATCCCAAGAAAACTTATCTGGTGGGCGCTACGCCACAAAAAGGTTCTCGAAAAATATATAAGAATAATACAGGATATGTATATGGGCCATACAACAATGGTCCGTAGCACGGTACTTCAACAAGCTTCTCAATAGCCGAGGGAGTTCATCAAGGGTCGGCTCTCAGTCCACTTCTTTTCATAACAGTAATAGATGTATTAGCCTAGTCTATACACAAAACTCCCATGGAATATGATATTTGTAGATGATATTGTGATACTTGCCGAATCCAAGGATGAAATGAAAGAAAGATTAATGAGCTGGATAAATATCCTAGAAAGGCACGGACTAAAAGTAAATAGAGAAAAGACGGAGTATATGGTGATAAAAGGAAATGAAACAGAAAACATTGATATAAATAAATGGCTTATATCGGCAATTGAAAGCAGCAAATATTTGGGATTCACTATACAATCAAACGGCACAATAGAGAAAGAGATAAAGAGTAAAATTAATCAAGGGTGGTTAAAGTGGAGATCTTTACCTGGAGTGCTATTTGTCAAAAAAATCCCACACAAATTGAAGGGAAAAATTTACAGTTCCATAGTACAACCAACTATTCTATATAGTTCGGAAACATGGCCAACCAAAAAATCAGACGAGAGAAGTCTACAAACTATGGAGATGAGAATGCTGAGGATGATTGCTGGGGTAACAAGAAAGGAGAAGGTGCGAAGCAAGAATACTAGGAAGTTTAAAGGTAGTGCCCATTAAGACTAAGATTGGTAAACAGACTAAGATGGTATGGGCATACAATGAGAAGGCCTATGAACTACATAAATAAGGTTGTGAGTTTGGAAGTGATGGGTAAAAGTAAAAGAGGAAGGCCAAAACTTCAATGGGCCATAAAGTTAGAGCCAATATGAAGAAGTATAAATTAGATAAAAGAGATAGTAACATAAAGTGGAGAGAGATATTGAAGGAGCTTACCACCAGAAAAGGTGAAAGCTAAAGAGGGGGAAAAAACAATTAAGCAATCATGAATTTTCTTTCATTGAAATATATAAAAATCAGTTTATCAACTGTCATCGGTTAAAAGATTGCACGATTCACCGTGAATATTCCTCATCACAGACCAGCCTAGCTTACTGGCTGCTAAAGATGTTGGAATATTTTGTAAACGAACTATCAAATTGAAGGCTGGATATCCATTACATTTCCACTAAATGACACCGTCAACGCGCGTTCTCCCAGCTAGCAAATTTTACAGTAGTTTTTGCTCTCTATTGTAATATTGTAGCCCAAACAATGAAATTTTTGTGCTTCAATTTTATCTTTAAGAAAGGATCTTAACTCTGCTATTTGAATATCTGTCAATCTGTTTCTTTCTTTTGAAACTAGAGGATATGTCAAGAATATAATATTGCTAATCATAAGCTTTTTTAAAATAATTATATTACTTTCCACTTATGTTCGAATTATTAAAATAAATGAAATGATTCCTAAGATTTTCAAGCCAGGGAAATGTGGAAGTATCTGCTCGTTTTTTTCAAAAAATGTAATTCTTTCACTAAGGGTTCGAAGAATATAGATAAATATAAACTTTATCCCAAAAAGACAATCTTTTAATAGCAAAGTAGTGGAGCTCCGAGTTCATTTTATTGTATAAATCCAGCAACTGAGATGGACGCTTTTTTTGATTCCATTACTTAGTGTTGGTAAACGGCTCGTTTTAACCCGATTTTTAATAACTCAATATTTTAGCCAGATAAATATATAAGCCTCTAGATTTCTTTAATAGATGTCCAAACCTTTTTGCCATCTATGAGCAAAATCCACAGGCATGCGTAATATTTTTCTAGATAAAATATTGAGTTAGCCATTTTAAAAAATCGGCTCTAAATGAGCCATTTAACAACACTAATATTAGATATCAACAGTTCCCCATCGTGTAAACATATATTCTTTTTGAGAAATTCTTATTGTCATAACATACAAATTTAGATGATGATCTCATAAATATTTTCTCACCTTGGGTATATAGACTTCTTGAATTTAATTAATTTTTGTGATAAAGTTACAGAGCAAATACATGCTTGGAACTTATACAAAATAATATGGGGATAATCATTTTTTTTGTATTTATTTCCCCATTTTTCTTTTCTAAATTTTTTTCAATTGTTTTTTAAATATTTTTTTCGGGGTTTTTTTTGTTGAAAAAACTTTTTTTAAAATTATTTTCTCCTGTTTTCAATCCCTAAGAAATAGTAAAACTTTTTTGCACCTTATCCGGGTCTTTTTTTTATAGGCACAAATATGACTGCCCAAATCGCCAATTATAAAAATTTTGTCTGAAAGGTTGGCTATTTTTTTATAAATTTATTTTAAAAATAGTTATTTTATTATAATTGTAATTATGCAATAAAATTGTGACTTTTATAATATTATTTATGTACTTAATAAAATATTCGAAAAAATTAGCTTCAAAAAAATACATATTCGATTTTTACGAATATTAAATTATTCAATTCTAAATTTACGAAGTTAATACAAATATCTCATAATTCAATTTTATGTGGGCCTAATTATATCTAAGGTTAAAATTTAATTTTCAAATATCTCTCCCAATAAATTTTCCCATATTTAATGAAACATTTTATAGTTTTGAGAATATGTGATATCCATATGCATAATTTATAATATAATACAAGAAGTCTAGTTGAAATTTTCCTAAGTTCATTATAATTTGTAACGTGATTGTTATATTAATTACTGTTTGTATCTATGAAATATCAAAGATGAAGGAGAGTGTTGAGTATGCCTTTATTTATCGCAGAGAATATTTTCTTATTAAACTAAACTTTGAGTATTATCTTAAATCAACTTTAAAAAAAGAAAATTTCCAAGCACGCCTGAACGAGAAGAGCTAGCGACGCAATTGTAGAGTAAAATATATTTAATATGTATATAAAATACCTTGGTACGTTCCTCTTTAAACAGAATTTGATTTTCATTAATTCGCATATTCAGATCAATTCTTTCTTTAGGCTTTTTCTTTGTTATTTTATTAATAAAAAAGTCTTGTAGCCATTTTAAAAAATATATAAAAAAGGGCACTGCCTGCCCTTTATTAATTTTATAAACCTTAACAATAATTATTAAATTATTTAATAGAAAAATTATTTGATATTATACAAATATTTTAAACAAAGCCGTGTTATTTTATCCACAAGTGAGAAACAAAAGGTTTACACTAAGAACGTTTGTTTATAATAAAGTATCACGTTACGCACATAAATGCAAAGACGATTTGTTCTGCCTAGGATCTACAATGACTACCACCTATCATGAGACAAGAGAAGGAGGGGCCAGATCACAAACATTGGAGATAATAATACCAAGGCTATGCATAAAATAAGAATTATTTACTTCACTGCAATAAGTCAAAGTACATGTTGGATCCCAACAGATGAAAATCTGGCTAACCAACTATCACGAGAATGAACAATCAAACAAGTTGGCAATACGCTCTATCTATATTAGTTTGATGACAGATTTACGTCTTACTACTATATTATTAATTAATTTGCAAAGTTTTCTTTGAGCAACAAGTATAAGTTTACAGAGCGGATTATCCCTAGCTACGTAATATTTTATTATAGAACGTGTTTTGTGTAGACCCTTTTCATCACTTGTTATAGTATATAATGTGGCTTTGCTTACAATAATTTTTCCTATAATTCAATAATCATTGCTAAAACTTTCGTGAATAAACTTATTTTGATTGATTTTAAATAATTATAAAGTATATTAGGTGTGATTGTTCAGAATTCAAGGAAATACATATTCCTAGCAATTAGGACCTTGAACAAAGGTCTTTTTGCGTTTCGATCTCTGTCAAAATGTGACCTAATTTTATTATTGTTTTGACGTTCCAGAACATTCCTAAAGAATGTCTGCTTTTTATTTCTATTTAATACATTTTATATTCATTAATCTGTATTTAAATATAAATTAAATATCATATATACTAGTATATCCTCTAAAATATTATTTAATATTTTAAGTATAAATTTGAATTAAGAAAAACTTTTTCACACTGGTGGCATTTAAATGGCATAATCTGGATTTATTGATAGGAGAGAGGGTTAATATTTTTCTTTTTTGGAGTGGGGAAAGTTTTACTCCTTTAACCCTTCTTTTCTCCTTCTTTCATCTAGGCCTCTCTGGTGGCAATTTATAATTAGGGATTTTTGTTTCAATATTTATTTTTTTATTTATTTCACAAAATATTTATTTAATATAAGCTTCAGAAGGTTAGTTTAACAATTGGATGCAC